TCATGTACGCATGTAACTTACATTATTTGTCTGGACAGATTAATATTATTTTTCTTGTGCACTAGATCTAACGTTTTTTGTGACACAATTTATTTTCTTAATTTGATTCTTACATTTTTAGCTCACCTGCCCGAAGGGCAAGTGAGCTTATGCCATGGTGCGGCGTCCGTCGTCCGTCCGGCGTCCGGCGTCAACTTTTTACTTTAAACAACTTCTTCTCAATAACAAAAAGGCCCAGGGTACTGATATTAGGCCTGTAGCATGCTGGGATGAAGGGCTACAAAGTTTGTTCAAATAAATGACCTTGACCCACTTTCAAGGTCACAGGGGTCAAATATGTTAAAATCTTCAAACAACTTCTTCTCAATAACCGAAAGGCCCAGGGTACTGATATTAGGCCTGTAGCATGCTGGGATAAAGGGCTACCAAATTTGTTCAAAGGAATTACCTTGACCAACTTTCAAGGTCACTGGGGTCCGATGTCTTAAAATCTTCATACGACTTCTTCTCAATAACTAAAAGGCCCAGGGTACTCATATTAGCCCTGTAGCATCCTGGGATAAATGGCTACCAAATTTGTTCAAAGGAATTACCTTGACCAACTTTCAAGGTCAAAGGGGGCAAATGTCTTAAAATCTTCAAACGACTTCTTCTCAATAACCAAAAGGCCCAGGGTACTGATATTGGGCTTGTTACATGCTGGGATGAACGGCTACAAAGTTTGTAAAAATGAATGATTTTGACCAATTTTCAAGGTCAAAGGGGTCAAATGTCTTAAAATCTTCATACGACTTCTTCTCAATAACTAAAAGGCCCAGGGTACTGATATTGGGCTTGTTACATGCTGGGATGAACGGCCACAAAGTTTGTAAAAATTAATGATCTTGACCAATTTTCAAGGTCAAAGGGGTCAAATGTCGTAAAATCTTCAAACGACTTCTTCCCAATAACTAAAAGGCCAAGGGTACTGATATTGGACCTGTAGCATGCTGGGATGAAGGACTACCAAGTTTGTTCAAATGAATGACCTTGATCCACTTTCAACCTGTTGTCCTTGTTTTCGACATTCAAGGTCACAGGCATCATATGTTTAAATCTTTTAATAGGTTCTTATGAATCAAATATTGATATTCTGCCTGTATTTTAGTCCACTTTTAAGATTACAAGTGTGAGATTAATACCAGGTGAGCGATGCAGGCCCATTGGGCCTCTTGTTTTAATACATCTTGACCGCCGCTGTGGCCAAGTGGTTGAGGCGTCTGACATTCTGCTACCACTAGCCCTCTACCACTGGGTCGGTTTGAGACCTACATGGGGCAGTTGCCAGACCTGTACTGGCCGTACGTAGGTGGGTGGTTTTTTCTCTGGGAACTCTGGCTTTCCTCCACCACCAAAACCTGGGACGTCCTTTATTAAATGCCCATAGCTGTTAATAGGACGTAAAACACAAACAAACAAAAAACAAAAAAATGAATAAATGTTAACTGTTACAACAGTAATTAAGAATAAGTAGTTATTTTAAATTGTAGGAGATGTTTTACTTTCTTCAGGGATCTACTGATGATGCCTTTCAAAAAACCTTCATATTTCTTCAATGCTAGAATTGATTCAAAATGATTCCTATCAGTATTATAATGATCATAAGTGTTCTTGGAAAAATATTTCATATTATAGTTTGTCTAAATTAATTTTGAAGTTTTGTTATAATTTCAATCTTTTTGGTACATTGAACTATTTTGGTACCTGGTACATTCACTTTGGTATTTCAGAAAAAGATTCACTTTGTTTTCTGCATGTACAAATGTTATCTAAGCCTTAAGCTTGTAAGACTGACTTAGAAGCCATGAAAAATAACTAAAATTCTACTATGTATTGTAAAACATATAACAGATCAGTAAGTTTCTTTGTAAACTTTAGCACTGTAATGAGACATGGCCAAGGGTGGACCTGAATGGATAATTTTGTGTGTAAATGGACCAATTATGTATACCTGTACCAGTACATGGTAATTACATATAATGGAATGATAAAGGTTTTTTTTGTTCACTTCAGAGGGAATATTGTAATTTTGTTATCTTGAATGTACTTGTATATTTAAATTGACAAAATTTCAATAAGTTGATTGACAAATATTTTAAAAGGTAATCTAACAAGGTTAAGGGTATACTTATGGAGGCATTCTCAAATATTTAGATTTAAAAACCTGGATAGATTAAATATTTAAAACCTTCTGGTGATCAAATCTTTTTTATAGACAGAATATAACACACACATTTCTGAAGCCATGATAAACTAAACATAGCTTTAAATTTTCAGCAACAAATAATAATTAAAGCACACCTGATTAAATATACATAGAAATGAGTGTCTGAAAAAACATATAGAGACCACATGTACAATTTCTAACATTAAACTGACAACACACTGTTAGGACAAAATATGTTATGCAGAAGAACATCCCCCATGATAACAAAATGACATTAGTTACTTCAGTGCTATGTCACGTATCTCTGACATACACACAGACACCTGTTCTCATGGGGGTATTATAACATTCAGACACTATTTGTATGTATTTTTTTAATCGTTGTTCAATTGATATAACTGGAGTTGCACTCATGTTTATAGGTGTGGCTATCGTATCATCAGAGACTGGTTACCTTTGTGAAAACAAATCTCAGTTTATGTTTTGTTTAATCGGACTATTTTTCGAATGCACTAAAACATTGCTGATCAATTACTGTATGCTATATATTAGTACATGCATGCTGGAGGTGATTGCTACTCTGTATTTGATTTAATTGATGATCGTACAATAACTGTTTTATTATCAATAGACTCTCTCAGGTTGACAATTCATAAATATATCATGGAGTCTTGCGCTAGTAACTTGAATTTGATAACTGATTTTGTGTCTAAAGCCTGTTTAGATACCAGAGATTTACATTGTCAGCAGGATATACATTCAATTATACACATGTCAATTGCTAATACCAGTTGATTACAATCTCTTGACATTTTGTATCCACCCCTGGTATTTTTATTTAGTCTATATCTATATCAAGAGAAGGAGTAGTATAAGAAATAAAGACCAATCCATGACAGTTTGGTGGGGATATAAGGTAGCAAAATAATTGTAGATTAAAGATATGTTGAATCATGGCCCGGCTGGGTTTTGTGGACATGGAAGCAAAGTGTATTATTTCAAGATAGACTTGTATATGAAAGAATGCCAGCTTGTATAGTTCTGTGTAACATTACATGTGATTGGCAGTAGTGTGTAGGCTGTCTGGGTATACCTTATCCTACTGAAACACTTCTAATACATACAAACTTAAATACTGTATTACAATGTTAGATATTCAAGATTATTATATGACTGCTAATTCCCAGCCCTGATTGGAGGAGCGACGTCATGTGACGAGTCTGTAAATATGTTACAAACCTCGTTCTATGAATAGAAAAGTGTTACAGACCTCGACCTATAAATACAAAAGTGTTACAGACCACTACTAAAAATAGGCCTAGGTAATTTCCCAGCCAGTCTGTAATTCTGTTACCAATCACACTACTGAATTCAGCTAAAAATGAATTATCTCATCAAATTCTGAACTATGTGAATATCAATGATGTCGATTGTGCAAATAATGTTTACTGAAAATTAAATATCACATGAATTGAAACTAAATTTGTGTGTATGCTATTTTGTATTTGAAGTCCTTCAATCTGTGATTCCAAAATGGTCCATGACATCCATCTGTTTATGACATGAAAAAAAATTGATTTCATTGAAAAATGTCATATAATAAAACAATTGCGGACTTCAGTCTATCAATGATTTACGGTCCTGGGCTGAAAAATATTCACGTCGGCCTTTGGCCTCTGTGAATATTGTTCAGACCAGGGTCGTGAATCAGGGATAGACCTCACCTGAAGTCCATCATTGTATAATATTAAATAGTCGCACACTTAAATAATCCTAAAGGGATAAAGTGTATTTAGTGAAGCTCAATCTTTTGGTTCATAAAAGTTGATACAAAAATAATCTATATGTATATATACACAGGTGTCAGATTGATCCTCTCTATGGAGGTATCCACCATATTGGATGGCACTGTAAGTTTTAGACCAAATCAAATTGTGTATGGCTGGTGTCTGCTGAAACAAAATCACTTGACTGGCTCAGTACTAGTGGTTTTGTATACATATGTTTTCATTAATACTTTATGCTGACCATATATATATATTTGATGTGAAAACAACAGTATATTATGCTACGTGTGTTTTTCCCTCATAATAAAATCAACAGCTGCTGCAAATTATTATACAATAAAAAACTGTTTAAGAAAGTATGAAGTTATTTTACAGACTTTTGTTTCATCATTATAATTTGATTGCATGGACATCATTGGATGGGGCTGCCTTCCTACTGTATATCAATACAAACATTGGACACTTCGGGCCAGACAGAACGTTTTGTTACACTGTTTGGTTTGTACAATTACATCTTAATTTTATAAATTTAGTGTAGGAGTAACCTGTAGTACATACAATACATAAATGTCTGAAGAGATTAAACAAATTTAAGTAAAGGATTTCGAGACTTAAGGTAATTTCAAAATATCTACAACATCCGTGTGTTATGGCAGTCTTTTGGTCTGCTCCAATAATACATGAATGCATGTGGATGTGTGCTTTTCTCTAGCTGTGTCATACTGTCAGTATTTGCCATAAGATTACCATGCTCATGGACTTAGAGATATATCACATTTACTGAATTGAAATATGCCCAATAAGTCCAAATATTTTCCTCTAGATACATTTTATGTATTTTAGGAAAACATGATCATGTGCTATATTTGTCACAAGACATACCAGAAATGTAACAACGAGCTCTTCACACTTGAGGAGTTTAAAGTGCAAATATGAGTGCAATTGTTTACTTTTTAAGCTGTGTTTTTAGACTTATTGAACATGTTATATGTTACTTCATCACACAGGGCATGGAGACTGCCAAGGTAAGTGCACAAAGTTGGGAGTATATGGACTATTTTCCTGATTATTACACTCTATGTAGTATTCTGAGAGAGACAATTGCATTTTTTTTTCAACCTTGTGTCAAAAACGTCATCCTAGGAAATCGCAAAGGAAATAGGATCGTTCAAGAATTGGTATTTTGGATGGAGTATATTTTTTTTTATCCAATAAGTAGAATAGCCAAACCAATCACTAATGGGTCATAAAATCCTTTTAATTTATGTACACTTACCTAACTTACTAAGCGAAATTGCCCAAACAATTAAGGCTGTATATGGTGACCTACTTTCTAGTTCATTTCGAAAAACATATTATTTAAAATGTAAATTCCTTTCGATATAAAAAAGAAGTACCGAAAGGACGTTTTGTGCTTTAGGACTTTATTTATTGGTCCTTTTGTTGGAATGAACATTTTCAAATTTATCACGTATCGCGTAATCAGTACAAACGGACGGGTGATAGGACCTACTTACTTTAAACAGTAAATACATTATGGAAACAAATTATTCATGAAATTTCTGCATTCAATACTAGTGCATACAATATACGTATATATAGGTTCAAAAGTATAAGACATTTGCAGGTTTTATACTAGTTTAAGGAAAATCTTTTTCGATTCATCATAATCTACGATAAGAACCTTTTTTATCATACATTTTTAGCGCACCTTACCTGGAATTGGCAGCCCAAATGAATGCACTTGTTAGACTACATTTTACTTTACTATCTGTCCTTGATCTATTACTGATTGTGTTTTTGACAAAGGTTGCAATATGCATGTTCTTTCAATATTGGCAGTTATTATTTGAATATTTACGGGGATAATATGCACGATTGGATCTATATAGGTATGCTTCAGTTCAACCTCAACTCGTACAGTATTTGAATAACTGTCATAATAAGCCTTTCTGTATTCCTTTTTAGTTACATTTTATAACACACCTCTGTAGATTGGATATTTCTTGTGATTCCTTAGATAGACGAAACCCCTCTCTTCATTGTGTAGTTTCCTTGTATTTTATAAAGACAGAATGTATACAGTAGATTTTATATATAACGATTAGCTTTTTAAAACTATATCATGGTGTATTGTAAATCATCAGCTTGTTTATACTGACTGTTTTCAAGAATTTCCTGCAGTCAGTAAATTCCAATATTTATGTTTGCACATTTGTTAATGAATGAAAACAGCATCAAGTAAAATTTTCTACAAATAGCGAAAAGTAACAGGGTTAAAATCTAGTTTACTAAATGCTTCGATGATAATTTGCAGAAATTTACACAATTGTATTCGATTTTTATCTCCATTTGAAAGAGCTTTACCTTGCTGTACAATGAGATCTAAATTACTTCAATTATTTGAGAGAAGACGATGAATTTTCAAAATCACAGGATTTATTTTTAACATATGTTGAAAATTTATGCAACTCTGTTTGCCAGAGGGAGGGTACGACGTTGTGGTTGTAAGGTAGAGATCTTTTGCTTTTTATCACAAACATATATCATGCTTCAGATTTTTGCTATAGTCTAGACTTCCTAGAAAGTGTCATAAACTAATTAGATGTAAATACTACTAGCAATGGAAGACGCCCAATAAAGAAGAATATCTGTCTTTGGCAGGATCTGACGTATGTTTATGTTTTTAAGAGAATGCATGATCTCCCTTGATTTTCGATGATAACTGTTTTTCAACATTGTTTGTGTGATGTTGTTAAATGTCATCAAATCAAAATATGCATTAAATTTTGTAACTACTGATATCATCATCATTGTATCATTTTTTTTTTTTTCAAAAGCAATACAGCTTTTACGTTTCAAAAAGAGTTATAAGGTAAAGAAATGATTAACAAGTCAGATGTTTCGTTATTGTTGAATTTCTTATAGAATATGAATATAAAAATATTTATGATATTTTGAAAAATTATGTAAGAAACTCATTCGAAATTTTGCTACATATACACTTTCAGTTACGAAAAGAGGTAACCAATTATTAGAACATATGTTATTTTCCTGCTGGCACTGGGCTTGTCATAGGTATTAGAGGGTTCGGACCAGTTGAAGTTTGAAGATTTTTATTGGTTTAAAAATCAATGAATGTTGGTGTTTATTAAATGAATTATGTGAAGTGCTTTTTCTTGCTCCATTGTTTGGTATGTGGTACTTACTAAACAATAAGCTCATTTGATTTTGGGTTATTTTGTGGTACTTATCTTTATAAATCTTCCTTTTTCAATGAAGTGCAATGTATTTTCATAAAATGCTACTAACAACGTGTTATTTTAATTTGTGTGATTTTTTTTCAAAAACAAATTGGTTTAAAAGTATTTCAAATTTATTCACTTTTTGGATCACAATATTTGTGAGTAAAACTTTATGCGTTTAATATTTTAAAATCCTATAAATATGTAACAAATATGTGTTATGATACAAAGTCAGTGTTCAATACAGGTACATTGTATGTGTGTTTTATCGGAATCATGTGTTTATTACCGTATCTAGGGATTATGATAATATATAAGGAATGGCTTTTGTTACTTTATATACATATGTATTTTTTGGCAGGGAACCCTGTATAGTATTTTTCTGAATTATTTGTGTAGATATCTTTTTGTCCTATTTTGAATTTATAGAAGTTATAAATACGTTCTATGTATTCTGTTTATCTTTCGTAGATGCACCGTCTTTTGTAGCATGCACCATCTACCTGTACCATTCCAAAAAGAAAACAATACCACTATGACATAAGCCACACTAATGCATTGCAAACGTTTTTATCTATATCTCTTTCAAAGATATATAGTTGTATCCATGTAATTGTGTCATGAACCTTTGATGAACACGTTCAAACCCGTTAATCGTCCCAACATTGAACATCCCTAAACGTCACCATTCTTCTAAATTACGTATATTTTATGTTTTCTTTTTATTCAAATATTGTTACTTCTTTCGATGTTTCAAATATAGCGGTACTGTTTTGAATGGATAAAGATGTTTTTTTATTTGATGATATAAGGCCTAAATTCAATCTGATTTTGCAATTGAGAACGTGCTCAAAAGTTACACTGTAGAACGTTCGGAACGTTTGCGACGTTTGCGATATTGGGGCAAATTCTAACGAACCACACCTCCTTTTATGCAATTGTTCTGTTATAAAAAAGGACAATAACTGATAGATACAGAGGGTAGTTGAAGAGATGGACGGCATATATGAACGTATGTTATTTGTTCTACTGTGCTAGATATAGTAACATACGCTGTACGTGCCGATCAAAACAGCATTTGTAACGATTAATTAAATGAATATTTTGTCAGTCTGTAGTCTCCTTGCTTCAGTGGAATCTCGTTACAGTTACCGATTACATTATACGTAGTGACCTGTAGATTATGATCACATACATATAACACATGTATTGATTACAAGGAATGATTTGAAATAAAATTGCGTAATGAACACCATGGAAGAACATGCCTATACACCCGGTAATTATGATCTAATAACTTTGACATGTGATTGTTTTTGTTGTTGTCCAGAATAATGTTTCCCCTTGCACTTTTTTTGAGTGACAACTCCTTGTCTTTGAGCATATTGCTACATGTAGCATGCAATAATGGCCGACAGATACGAATGTATTGCTATCAACCTTAAACAAAATATGTTTCTTCAGTGTTTCATTGCGTTGCCAGACGACAGTTTGAGCATATTTGCACATCAAACGGGATCTATTTTACAAAGATACTCAGATGTTGTTCTGATTGTGGGAATTTCTATATTTTCCATGCTGTTACATCTATTAAAAATATTAGATATTTGTTATATTTACGAAACACTGTTGTTTTAATTCATACTATGATTTCCAAATGTATGTGTGTTTCATAGTCAAGCAAGACAATCGGGAGCGGACAACCATGTACAGACTAACAGCACCTCCAGAACACTAGATACACTTGCCTGTGTAGCGGCTGAAAAACAAGTGAGTATCCTTAGAAATGAAAAGCACGTCTTTGTGGATTTATAAAGCGATATCGTACAAAAATTATTGGTATGATGCTGACTGCTTTGGACATAATATGTGATAACATAAACGATTTCATTTTATTTGAAAAGGATCAGTTTGCTAAATGTGATATAACCTAGCATTTCTTCACTGTATTGTTTATACTATTTTCCGAAATTCCTCGTCCATATGATGATCAGTGTTAAAGGAGGACACATCTCATTTTTTTTGTATTTCGCCACATTGAGAAATCTATTCATCTCTTGGGTATACATATTTGGTGATGTAGTATGAACTATTTTTATAACAGTTTCATGAATGCAGACTTGATGTGAAGAGAATGGCTTTATAAATTAAAAGAGAAGGTGAAGAAAATATGTAAATCTGTGTCGTTGCATGGGGTGAATTATTGATGTGCGTTATACCACACTCTAGATAAGGTTTATGTTAAAATATCACTTAGGATAATTATTTACCAAATCTTCTTTACACATTCTGTTATCTTTTCACCTCGTTTACTGATCCTTTGTAACGACATGTTACAAACAATATCATTATCACAGAAATAAATGCATATTGTGGACAGGTTATATAGTTACTCTTTTTCGAACCATTTAACTTCCCAGCATAGATGTGAAAAGGTAAAATTTACATCTTTCGGAGCACAGAACAACCATATTTCTTAATTCATACAATTTTGAATCACTCATGATGCTTAGTGTACAGTTCTTTTGTATTGTCAACAGCTTTTAGAATCCGAATGATTATTCTACCGACATGTTAACAGTGTTAATATTATTTGGTTAATTGTCAGTTATGCTATCTCACTATATTTGTTTCCCTTTTTAACCCCCTAAATTGCTCATCAAATATCAAGACACTGACATCACACAACTCAAACTCGTTTGGTGTCCTCACAAAATCTTGTATACTTTGAGTGTGAATTGTCAAAGGTCAGGTCAATCTTACTATAAAATTGTCTAAAACCACTGCTGTTGTTTACGTTCCATCTATAAATGCAATAGCATTGATATACATCAACCTAAATTGCTCCTGTTTTGCTTTTCTGAAGAATTTGCTGCCCCCTGCGGTCCCTTGTTATGTCATATTTCATATAGCCATCGGACTTTGTGTATAGCATCTGAAATACTATTTAGCTTTGTCAGCGTAAAAGTATTGTTCTAGCTTGTCAGGATGGATAAATGAAGACAATATTCTTCATTTAAATCGACAGTTAACCGAAAAATATTATCGAGATCTGTTATAGTAAATTGATCAACGAGATATAAAATCAGCTTTCGTTTTTTACACGTTTCAAGTGGTCTTAGCATGACGATCACAGTACATGTATCACTTGCGCTATGTCATGTTCACGACCACGGAATGCATTCGATGCATGTTTTATTTGTATCATATATGCAAAATTTGAAGAATAAATTAGGAATATGATTTCTATGTCCAGGATACGATTAACTTTAATGCAGAAAAAAGGAGAAAAAAAGAACAGGTTTTAATTGAATAATGTATTTATGTCTATTTTAGTTGGATAGAAATCAACCAGAATAAAATCAATATGACTAAATATTTTCATTGATTTAATTGAAATAAAGCAATAACGTTTTTATAGGATCTCATATACGCAATGCATTGTGCAACATGTACACCATGTAGAAATACAAACGGGGATATTCATTTCATCACAAACTCTTGTAATTTCCTTAGCGACGCCCCTTCAGCACATTTACCAATATTAGAACTCTTGGACACGTTATACTGGATGTCAGACCGTCCACAGTGAAAGGTCGAACTATAATACGCCCTTCAACAAGTTTCTCTGTAAATGGTCGAAGTTTTGCCAGGTCTAAGAGTGAAGTATGATTCCTTACCAACTTTATACATTAGATATGAGTATATCCACCCTAGATTAGATGTGGTACGGGCAGACCAGCAGTATAAATATAAATCGAAATTCGTACATTTATTAACTGCAAGACAAGATCATATGTCGCAATTCACTTGGGTCATGATTATACTGACAGAAGAAGCTATTTGGATGTCTTACGTTTACTTTAATATACATTAAAAAAATGTTATCGTACTTTCAAACTAAATATATAACTTTTAGCAGGCAATAACCACGGTGTAATGCAATGTTTCAGAGTGAATATCATATATATTTCAAAATTATTATACGAACTGGTTTAACAAATGTTACAAATTAGTAGAAAAATAAAGAAAAGTTTAAATATATGTGTATCTGTATTTTACTAATACTCACATTGTTTTTCTAAAACGACATGAAATGCTGATAATCTTTAAAAGATAGATGGAGTTAAACGTATAGGATATCTTAATTAATCTTAATCAACATTCGTTAAATTCAAGTGTTTGACATCGATGATCATGTCTTGTAGGGCCTTTATTATTTATTATGTTTTTATTTTAATGATTCCATCAAAACTTAACGAGATGATCCGCACATCAGATGCACATGCACTTTATTCGTGCTACGGAAAGATGGTATGAATTATTGTATCAATTAAATTTTGCATGTGTAGTAATATTAATTATGATACAAAGAGCAATCAATCATTAAACAATGTTCATGTTTGTATGTTATAATTAACTGATGTGACAACATGACATCAACAATAATAAACACTTCGGCATGTGGTATATGTCGGGAAGTGTATGTGTCAGTAACGACTTGGTCAGCCTGTGTGTAACTGCACCCTGAGACTTACATATTCTTTCTTTTATGCAAGGCCTTGATACTTCAGTCATGGCCGTATACACTCTTTCTGTCTACATCTTAGCATCTTTCATTTCTATAGCGATGACGCTTACATCTATTACATAGATGTGATTTGTTTGGCTTCTGAGCTGTCTACATCTGTAGTTATTCTTTGATTATATTTGTAAATAATGGAAATGCATGGCTTCATATGTTAACGTTTCATTGTAATATAACATAGGTGATTACATGAAATGATGCATGTATAGTGCGATGATGTATTATTCGGTTTATGATCAAAGTGATAAAAATATTCCTTTTTTGGAATAGTTTTATAACGTTTTGCCAAATAGCCTATCTGCTGTATTTCCTGCATGTTTTAGTAGTGTTATGTAGAATGCTATGTTGGTCATTGATTACAGGATATTTTTGAATTTTTTATATTTGAAGTGAAACGCTGCCATTTATTTTTTCATGTAAAATGTTCAATAGTTTAACTGTAAGATTTCCTTATTGTGAATTTTCAGAAACCGATCGTCACTGCTCGTCTGAAACGTCAAGTTCTAGTTAGAAATTAATTTTATATTTCGATTTACGTTTTTCGCACTGGTGATGGGTTATTTGCAGCAAGTTAAAAGTGTTTTCCTCCCTATGGAAGTATTGGCCTTCTGTTTGCTTTGGTATAAAAGGAAATGGTTATTGGGTCCTTACAATATAATCATTGTGATACAGCATAGTGTGAATTGTGTGTTCTGAGAGTCGTCCATTATTCCATTGCTGCACAGTAGATATCACATAATATTTTAATTGTGGAATTGAGAATAATCGCATTTATTTAGAAGGCATAAAAAAGGCCTTCTTTTTCATTTTGTTTAGATTTTCTGGTTAAGCTTACCAAAATCAATTTATTAACATATTTTTTAATAAGTTCTGGAGTGAGTTGTAGCTTTACTTCAAATGATAGGCAAAAGGGGAGATAACAGGTGTAACAGGTAATTGCATTAACATAATACTAATGTATAATTTAATATTGATTGCCCAGTTTTATGTGAAATTGATCATATTTGTAAGTATTCAAAGTAGTAATTTCTTTCTAATAGGTGTTATAAACGTTAGTGTTATTTTCACAATTGCCAGGGTTATATCTGCGAATATCCCATGACACCTGATGTGTCCTTCTCCCCAGACAATATGGACAACAAAAGTGATATAAGCTTAAGCAGACTATCAACAACCTGCCTTGGAGCAGAAATGAAAGTTCGGTTGAACGAAACATTAGAACCGTCCTGCACATTTCATCTGTTCCCGTCGGAATCTGTTTTGGAAGGACCGCCTATTATACTGAAAACTGCCAAACCTATTCTTTGGAACCCTTCGACTTCCTCGCCTGTGCATCGAAAGGACAGTCGGCGAGAAACAATGGTTTCGTCTCCGTTCAGAGGTTATGTCAAAGTGATAAATCCAAACGTCGACTACAAGCCAAAGATGAAACTGATTTTAAATAAAGAAGACGCGGGCAAGGTAGATTTTCCCGTTATCAAATCGAAGAACGGTATGCTTGTCGCTGCAGATATAAATCTTAGTGATCAAGCAAAATTTAAGGAAGAGGCAATGCAACAAAAGAGTCACGAAGGTACAGTTCTTCCGGAAAAAAAATCATCAAGCGCCTCTTACGAGAAGACAAGTAAATTGTTCTGTACAAAAAATTTAAGAAGTAGATTTGCTGGATACATCAAAGGAAAGAAAACACGTGCAAGTGCCTTGCGCAAATCTGAAAACGCGGCCAATAACAGAAATGCCTATTCTGCTAGAGTGGTACGGTCAGATCGGAGCGATCTGCCTAATAGCCTTCGTGGGGAATCTGTTAGTCCTGGATTGAATTACTGGACAGAGGAACCGGAAGAATATACAAACGAGACAAAGCCTGGAAATGCTGTAAGCATTTCCACAATCGAGAGCTCTGAAAGTATGAAGCGGGTTGCTGAGTATATTCTGAGGGAAAACAGCAGCGTGGGAATCAACGCAACATCTCAAGAGGTCAACTCCGATTCCCTTACACCTAGAGATGGGGTACACAGTTTGTTCCCAATCCGCAAAATGCCATAATCCATTAAGAAATGCACAGAAATAAATGTATACCTTATTTTTTAACCTCACAGCCTCACAATACATTGGGTGATTTTCTCTCATTTCTATATGCGTAATATTCCGATTGTTTACTATGGGCACTCTTACTGTACAGCATTTATGATAAAATGTATAATTTACTGTTTTTGTTTATTTTAGGCCACGTCTTGTCTCATAATAAAAAAAACACATAACATATTTACAGTTAGTATATTTTACCAATCAGCTGGTCTTTGTAAAGCAAGAAATGAGAGAAATTGCATTACACTTTTATCATGAGAACATCGAAGTTACGGACTGCAACGAAATCATCAGTAAGCTCCTGGCTGAGAGTTTCCTTTCTTCAATATTCTCAGTAGTGAAAGGGTATAATTGGCACATAGATATAGACATAGTCCTATCTGCACGAGATTGGTTGACAAGCACGAGTGACTTCGTGAATATCACACAATGGAATGTAATATTGATATGCACAGACAAGGAGTGCGATTTTCCACCTCTTTAGTCATATGGTCACATGTACTTGTCGTATTTTAAAACAAATGTTGCATACCTGCTCTACACTGTAGCGATTGTTACGATTAACGGATCTCCATGTGCACATACTGTTTACTCCATCACGAGTGTTTGCCTATGCATGTTTTAATATGGTTCTATGATAATACAATTAGTTGGAAGATTAAATATTTCATTTAATTTATTTTGCCCTCAGACAAACGTAACATAACGCTCTTTGCAAATTAATTTCTCTCAATTGTTTATTACTTCAAATTAAACCTCTCATAAAAAAAATTGTTTGTTTATAATTTCCATTTTTATCGCAGCTTTGTGGAAAAGTAATATACTAAACATACTGGGTTTTTGTCTACGTTGTAAGCCTAACTGCATGCGAGAATATTTAGCAAACTTTCAGGAACAATTTGAAAGTATTGTGTATGTAAACAGAACTATACATTTTAGTACAACTTCAAAGTAGATCAGTTTTTGTATTTTAATGAGTCGGTAGTTGCTTTTAATTTGATCCCAATACACTTTATTCTGACATGATATCTAGCTGCTCAACTTTATGAAGATAGTGAGATATATCATCGAATTTATACTTGTATACTTTATGAATGCATTTGAAGCATATGTGGATAAAATTCAACTTAGGAGTAATATATAATTGTCTTCTGACTTATATTAGAACTTTTGAATTGTTTCCAATAAGAGATAAGAGTCAACATCCACATACAAATCTTAAATTTCACATATTTTCATTCTCATGTTTGCTGTGTTTAGATGATTTGATTTGTTTTCTTAATATGTTTGTGTGTTTTATTGACAATCATGATGCCTGCTTTTCAGATGTGGTTTGATTCTGCAGGACGAGCTTATGTGAGCCTTGCCGCTCGCTACGATCCTCTCAAGAAATGATCATTTATTGTATTGAATCATCAAGGTATTTTTGCACCCGATCCCACTCTCTGTGTTTCCCGTCGAAGCTTTCTCTAAAGTACCATGTTGTATGATAACACATTCTTCAGTACCATTCCTTTCCAAAAGTGCAACCTGAAACTTATATATCGTTCATTTTTTTCATGACCTAATCGATTCAAATTATCTCTTGGGGAATTTTTGTAATTTGCTATTTCTTGAATTATAATCCTGTAAAATGTTTCAAATTAATGGCTCATGTGGAAAAGTTCATATCATGGGAATCCCAGATCATGTATTTTTATTTTCTTTAAATTTTCTTGAACATGAATGAGGTACAAGAATATTTTTCTGTTTATTAATTGTTCATGTTAACACTTACTCATATCTTATGTCTTACTGATTTTATCAAATGTCACCTGTGTTCATCTGTCAACTACAACCTTTTTCACTTTGTTTTATATATTGTTCGTTGTATACACAATATTGTTTGTCATATTTTGTTCTCGAATAACTCTGCTTTCTCTTATGTTCCTGTTGTCATTATATGGCAACACCTGTACAACCCTATTGTAGATCAATGCTGATGTCCCCCTCCCCCTTGCACATCATACTGTTACATGATACATGTACTATTCTATCATCTGCGCAGCGTACAATCACTTGATATACTTATATTCATGCATTACTCTATCTTCTTTCTATTGCGTATTGTCAGGTTATACATGCATTTCTCTCAAATATGCCCCATTCAAACCAGGCTTTTGCTAGTATTTATGAATTGATGTAATACAAAACCAGCATACGTTTGATCAGTAGACACAATGATTTTTCAACCGTAATCAAGATTGATTTGGAATGCGATGTTCTCAAATCTACTATTATTGTTATTTGATTGCCACCTTGATATTGTTTTAGTAAACGCAGTTATATGTATGTGCTAGTTACATCGTTAGCGTTTGTAATACCAATGTAGTTCTCTTAATCATTAGTTAATTATTATCAAAATAGATATATACAACTATTTTAAGGTTGGATTTTCTTTAATCTAGATGTCCTTTTTTCAAATTTATAATAATATGTTTGTGATTGTTTTGATGTGTGCGTTTTGACATGTAGCTGCAATAAATATTAAAATACACAGATTTTCTATATACAATATAAAATTGTATGATATAACGATGTTCTGTTTTTCTATGTTTCTTATGGATTTCAACTTTTCACTAGAAATTTACTTAGGCTTTTGCATTCGTTTCTGCTTTTGTGTGTGTTTAAAATGCCTATTTAATATAATTAGAGTGGATATAGATTAATATGTTTCATATATAAATTGTTCTAGTTTTCATATTATATTTCATTTCATCTTCACCAGGTCGAGCCTGATTTTCCTCCTGATGCCGCGGGTCTCACCTGGTGTGAGAGACTAGAACTACTACGAGCAGTCAACAAAAAACCAGAAAAAGTAAAACCGAAACCTCCCAGAATACGATTCTTCAAGGATCCTCCCAAAGAAGACCAAGAATGTTCTGCTCCTCTCATCGCCCAATCTACTCGCGCTCATCTTTACGAACAACGGCGAATGAAACATCTACTGGAACAGGCTAAAGTCAAAGGCACAGATCAGTTCGTATGGTTGACAGACAGCGTCAGGTTTCGTGGAGTATCCTCAGACAATTCTAATTCTTCTGACGACGACTCGGACGAAATATGTAGTGGGTCTTCAGGGTCGCGATGCACGTCCACAAAGCCATACGGTCCTGGTATGGACGTGCATAATGCCGAGAATGCTTTGCTGCAGCGGTACAATATGCCGTCAGTGAAGGGAGGCGGATGGAAAATGACCCCATACCCTATTACCATACGTTCTCGAACTACCTTGTTTCAGAACTGAACATGCGTATGTGATATTTGTACAAAATTGTGATTTGCATGTACTAATGTTTATTCGTCTTTACAACACTTTCCAATTGTTACTCGTCTATTAATCCATATTTATAGCATGAATACAAATTTTAATGATTAAAAACAAGGACGTTCAATTCGGTCGTTTTTTATACACGTTTGTTGAATGTTTTAATGGGCTATTGCTCTATCTTATTTGCCAAATATACTTTTCAATTATCTTTACCAAATTAGCTGTTTGTTGTTTGCGCGAAAGTGTCAAAACAGTCCAAATAGCGGTTTCTAAGTTTAGTCTGGGTGTAGTAAGAAATTATTTACAATCATGAGTAAGAATACTTTAATGGTATTTTGTTTTAATTTGTATAAAGCTCATGAAATTCTTGATATTATGAATACTCACAACAAACTAGGTGCTATTGATTTTCTACTTCACCTGTTGTCAAAAGATTAAGCGTCTGGAATGCATTGACTTGCTACTGTAGACAGTTTTGTTGTGATCTATTCATATTTAATCAATTGCATATTGTCTGCTTCAGTAATAATAATTTTTGTGTATTGATAAAAGGTATCACACACCATTGAAAAATCAAGACCTGATATCAATATTTGTTTTAAAAATGTAATCTCATTTGACATCCGTGCCAAAATTCCATGCTGTCCTTATGATGTCAAGTATAATTTTTGTTGCATAACAAAAACAAAACATAAGTAAATGTCTATAAGACTTCACAATGTTTATGTTAAAATAACCTTTTGTTAATATTTGTATTTTCGTATTATCATAGAGGACAGCGAATATGTTTAAAAACAACTCTGTGCTCCTTGAAGCAATTAATCATTAGTACAATAAATGCAGAAAAAAATAACTAAACAAAACAATAGATAGATAATCCACAAATACAACTACATGAAACACATTTATCTATTTACTCAAACCCAACGCGTGTATGATGCTACGGAAATTACAGAAAGATTGGAGAAGGTCCATGTCCTTAATTGTCCGTGTCTCGTTACATCTGGTCGACCTCTAGGTTGAGTTATATAATTTCGTCATATAACAGTTAATCAATGCAAGTTTTTTACAGTGTCTACCATGCTATAATTGTAAACTTTTCATGCGTCAAATGCGCAGTATGAGTAGTGTGTCCTATGCCTAATACACAATATAAGTTGCCACTGTGTGCATATCCAGTGATCTCCTGTTTTAAGTTTTGGTGATACAAACTGTTGAACAAAATGTTTGGCGAATGAGCATTTGAACAAAGCTTGAGATTGAAATGAGGTCGAAAAGAGTTAACTGTTTGTAAGAAAACTTACTGGAAACGATGTTATTGAATGTCGTTTTTGTATCATTAACTCAATGGCATTAAACGAAAGTGGTGAATGATTGTTACATATAACATTCCAAGAGTTCTCTAACCATGTATTATGATATAAAATAAAAGCATGATATCAAAAATATTCTTTGTGGATTTGTATCAGCCAACATGTCTGACATGGCAATGGATGGAGTAAACACGGATGATGTCAATGAAAACCATAGCAATACTGTAAAGCAAAACAGTAGCGTGTTAGTTCCATCTACTCCTATTAACGAAGAGAGGAGACGGTTTATTTAAAACTCTTAGCAAACAGGCAGCTAGTTGTGGTGGTTATGTAATGTGAAAGAACAGTAACTGCAGAAAAGGCCGTTATAAGTGCACGCATTTTGACAAACTTTATCGCAAGAGATGAAACGTGGTAGAATATACATGGCTGTGCTGCCAAGGAATTATAACGTCGTTGGAACATACGATGTTTAGAAAGGCATGTTAATTAATATTTAACGCAATACACGTGAAAAGAATTCTGACTGAAATTAATTTGTAATTCCATTAATTGAGAGTTGCATTGCTCAGGAATGCAAGGAAATAACAAAATATCAATATAATTAAATATCATGAAAATAAGAGTTCGGATTCGTGTTCAGGTATTCCCTGTACGGTGCAGCAAACAATCATTAAATCAAACTTTCTTTGAATAATTTGTTACTGTTTTTCGACAAAATTATAGCTGCTAGCTGTAAGCGCTTCATTTTGAATTTGTAGTTATCATCGTACCGTTGCAATTATTTTGAAAATAATTACCTTTTGGAATATTTTGAGAGAGTTTCTCATTCTAAAGTTTCAATGAACTTATTTGCTCCAGATGTTGAACAATACTTGTTTTATCCATGCGTGGGCCGTAAGGTGCAATGTTTCTCATACGATGCTGTCATCGTATTAAAAGAGCACGTGCGTTCGGAGACATGTAAATAAAGATAGATCAATGTTTTCGTGAGATAAATGTGTAATATATTACCATCTTGCTGATGTTTGTTACTCGCCACTGGAAAGACAAAAAAGACAAAGATACCTGTTTCATTTAACAGCATCATATATATACATTGTGTATCATCCACATTCAATTAATTAACTACTTAACCAGAATTATCTACCAGAAAGGGTTTAATCTAAAATATTATGTTTACTGTCGTCTAATTACATGAATTCCAGTGTTTACCATAATAAAAGATCGTTAAGCACATTTATTTCGAGGTTTTAACTGGAGTATCATGACGTGCGCCACTTCAATCAGTTGCAAGTTTTATTTACCCTGGGTTCACGTGTACCTAAATGTAGAATGATCACTTACCGCATACACGTTTTACACCTTTCATAAAAAAAAAAAGGCAATGATAGACAAATCCTAAGTAACACGAAGGTATGATGTCAGTAAGATGAAAAATCTTTATCACCGAAAAAGTACGTATGTAATTAATCTTTTAAAAATGTAAGACATAAAAACTTCTATAGGTGTTGGTTTTTGGTAAATACGGTACATAGATTGACAACGTAACCTGGGTTTTACAATATATTTCCTTTAAACTAAACATTATGGGGCAATATCCCTATGAGTGCTATACAACTATAAATATTTATCTGGGGGAGAGAGGGGGAGCAGAAGAGCGTCAGGTCACCTAAACGTACCTGGATACTTATACAATACACACTGAAGTCGACTTGAACACATTTAATGAACACAACACAAACAGAAGATCATATTCAATTCCTTAAAGTATCTAACCAAACGACCCCCGAATGCCTTTACAGTCATTGACTGAGAACGACAGCGAACGATAGTAAAACACTAACTGCAATTGCATGTTAAACGAAGTTTGTGTCTCCGTCTATATCTGCCAGCAGTTATATACTTTTGTAGCAAACCCCAGTAAAATAAAGCAACAAACTAGTCTAGCAATCGCAATAACAAGCAAAGAAAAGAAACCAATGAATTGCTTAGTTCAAGAATTCATCATTACAAGTAGCAGCAAACGTTGTAATTTTGAAGCGTTATAAAGGGTTGTATGCGCATCATTCCCTTTTGCTATATCTTTTCATATGTTTTAGAACACTTTAGATATAAAATATTATTCTTATTTACTTAAGTATCACCAATACGTCCTAAATGGAGGTACCGTAGTCTAGTGGTAGGAAGCCGGGCTCGTGACCGAAGGGTTGCGCGTTCAGGTCACGGCACGGCACTGTGTTGTATCTTTGGGCAAGATACTTTACTTCGCTTGTACCAGTCTACTCAGCTGTAAATTAGTATGCGGTTGGGCAGTACTAGAATTGTAGGATGCTAGCCATGAGCGCCGAAATGGCAGCACCGGCTTTATGCACCCCAGGGAGTTGAGAAAGATAATGGCTGGTTGCAAACGCCCTATAACCACGGATAATAATTTGTGAACCGCTTTGAGACGACCTACTAACTAGGTTTTGATAAAGCTGTATATAAGAACTTCGAATTATCATTATTATTATTAAATGGACTAAATGACCATATGTTGCTCTAAAAGGGTAAAACTAATGTTTGGCGTTCTGCATGAACTTTAAACCTTATAAATAGGTACTTCATTTGTCTTGTATTTCTAGTGATTGTTAAACCCTAAAATAGCTTCAGTTGTGGCCATTTATTTACTTCTAAAGGTAACCGGAGCATCTTTTTTATTGGTATCAATAAATATTTATATAACCACACATATTATTTATAAAAATCAAAACAACCACGAACCACGCCATTGCAAGCACATCAAACCATCACAGCTTACCATTGCACATGTAACCACCAATCACTATTTCAAATTGCTACATTTAATAACCGCTCATTATTGATTGTAAATACCAAGCACTTTTAACGCATCTACCACACGGAATTGTGTATACCGTTTGCTTTTTAAATCGTTCACGATCTACACACTGTAGTACAGGATATAGCTAAATCCTGTACCGTACACGATACATTTACACCCCGGATCGAACAGGATATTTATCCTCCATATTCTACCAAATACGATATCGTTTCATCCTATGCCGGAAATGAAACCTAATACACATTGTTACGGTGTTGTTTCCTGTCACAGGAGGTGATTATAAACGTTGGTTATTACAATGTCATTTAGATGGGATCAATATTTGTATGTATGTATACCGAAGAAACATGCCTGAACAACATAAATACAGCAAATTCAAAGTGTGAAAACAGCTTTACAAAAGGACCCAAAACTTCCCCAGCAGTAGTTATGAGGGTAAATGATGTCACCTTTTGTAACGGCAATATACACTTACATATCAAACGTAATTAAGATTGGCCAATATCTTAATCTAAGGAAGAAATAGCAAAAAGGGGTAAAAGCAACGAGTTGTTTCCGACAGCATTAATTAACACTTGGTTACTTGTGACTTATATGTTTACACCCTGATCTTTCTCCTGTTACTATTTATTCATTAACGATTCCCTTATCATTACATGTCTATTGTATTTGTTAAACATGTATAGGTGGTAGATTCACAAAAGTGTGTAACACTTAACTATTTATATCATCTATGTTATATTGCTTGTTTGTAGAATAATTAAAAAATATGCTTTGAATTAACAGGTGATTCTATATTGGCTTCATAAGGAGTTAAAATTCCCCTAACATGATTTTAACCGTTTAACCTTTCACTGTCGGTAATTAACAGGTAGGTTTCAGATATTTTCTTAATAGTTTCTCTATCTACATTGATAAATATATATCAAAAGTTGAAAGTTTCATGTATTGATAAATTAAGAGAATCTAACAATCATTACCTAATGTCTGGCAAAGTTATGTTGCAAAAGCAAATCTGATTTTTTAACGTTTAATCCTGAGAAATTCAAACTATTATAAAATGAACAAATGTGAAGTACTCAATTAAATAACAATAAATTCAAGCATTTCATTGGAAAAATTCTCGGTCACAATGTTAACTGATATTATCGCTTTAAATACGAGTTTATCCCATTCGCCAAAAGTGATCGAGTCTTTTTAAAATGTACGTTTATGGGAAAGGTAAGTTGTTTATCAATCAGATATATCATAGAGTAAAAATGTTCTTCATTTAAAACTTTAGTGTTAATATCAAAATTCAATGTTTCGTTTTATTGGAAACCTCCTTATAAAGGATTTGATAAACATAACGCAGATACTTCGGTAAACATACTGGAGAATATACAAGGCTTAAACATACGTCACTGATTTACCAGTAAAACAAACAGTCTCATTATCTACGCTCGCCCTCAGCTAACATTATATCTATTTATAACCAATACAACCACCGCCTCTTTTTTACTTTTCCGTACAAACTTAATGTTAAGATATTTCTTTGATAGTTTGTGCGTTTTTGGAATGCAATATGTAACTGTGTTCTGTCTAATCGAGTTATACATATGTAAGTTCTTGTAGATCCCAACAAAACACTAAGACTTGTGTAAGCGAGACTCCCCCTCTTTTGCACACGGCACTTTACAGTATCAAACTTCCGAGTCGTGTGAAAAGTTCACTCTCGCAACAGCTATCGTTCAAATTACAGTCTCATTTCTACAAGCAGCAGCAAATATGCCTCCTAAATTTGTGAGTATATGATTTTATTGCATACGAAATAACGCAAGAAAAATGATATGTTATAATGTGTTTGTTTGTATATCCTATGCTGTTGTTATCATCAGTCAATAATGATGGATTTAGAAAAAAAGGATGCTCATGATGTGCCTAAGCTAAAGTACATTAAAACTATATGGTATTGTATTGTATACATTGCATTCATTGGTATCATTTCGATTACTTATTTTTATCAATATGGTATGAGAGTATTGATACAGTTGATATATGTTAGTGTTGACATGTTGACATGTTTTTAAAGGTGACCTTGATGAACTTTGTATGACATTGTTTTTCTGACTCGTCCATCATTTCTGTTGACGTTTTCTCCATTCGATTTGAATAATTTACATAAGTAATACTATTGGCGCCTTCTTTTTGTACCTGACATGATGGATGCATTAATTAATAGGCAGCACTTCCTTTTGAAGGTACATTTGAATAAAAAGAAAACTAACCAGGTGTGGAATACTAAATACATTGTATGATATAATGTTAATTCGTGCTATCCATGAATCACCTTTCATGTGTTACATCATCTAATCCAATACAACGATAATACATTTAAGTATCACATTTGTATGATAAATAATCATAAAATGTCTAATTGTATATATGTGTGTGCGTGTCATAAAAAAGTTTTTTTGTAAAATGTTATATAAAAAAGCCCGATATTAGGTATATTTATTAAGATTTTTATAAAAGTTTACATTAATAAAAACTACTTGTTATTGTTTACGTACTGTATTTTTTTTTTAATTGCAATGTTGATATGTTGTTTTATATGTTTAATAGTGAAAATTCTCTAGCGTATAAAGATATGATTTTATATATAATTTATTATTTATCAACACACAAGCATTCGCGTTGTAACATATAAAACGTCACCTTATACACATAGTTACTATACCAATCGACGTTTATATATATACAAAGGAATGTGTTTCATATCATCTCAATGCTGTGTGTGTAGTCTCATTAAAGTAAGTGCTTCCCTACAAACAATTACACTGGGTGATAAGAGAGAATCCCTGTATTATTGTGGGGAACATGTGTTACACGGCCAGGGAGGCTCTTGACCCAGTTTACATGCTTGGTGAAAATTCTTGGCAGTTCAGTCCAAGCGCTACTCTCGTGTATACTTGTCAAACGTATCAATCAAAACAATTAATTTCCCCGAACGTTTAATTTCCTGACATAGATTCATCACCGAGCGGTAATTTAAAATTATATCAGTAGATGCCTTATTTCTATAAGCTGAAGTAATTTTGCAGCACAAATACTACACAGAACTTTGAACAATCTATTTCACATGTGAAGCTGTATTAGACTACTATCTGTCATTCAGTCAGGCTATGTAACATTACTTACCTAAAAAAATGTAAATGCATGTACACTGTACACGTGAAACATATGCTAATTTTAGACTAGACGTGCAGTATCTCAGTTTATTGCCAAAGAAATACGTTCAGAATTGTGTTCTTTCGTGCATCATGCGTACCGCACGTGTAAATTGTTATTTTCCTCTTCACTGAAATTATTCAATAACCCGGTTAGTTCATTGATCGTTATTTACGAACACATACTTAAAGGCTTCTTGTGGAGACAATAAGCATTAAAAACAACGTTGTTTTAGTATAATCAATGGACAAAACACTATTATAACCAGACTTATTGCTTGCGTGTGGCGGTCACTAGACTGGATTTCAGTCCATATGTTTATTTGCTGTCTTGCCTATGGAGTTCTGATAATCACAACAAGTGGACTAGGCTTGATCGGGGTTGAATCATTACTGGGCGGCCATACAGAGATACACAGTTGGTCTTTGCTTTGAAGATAAGAGGCTGAAAGGTGGAGGGGGAAGAAGTTCATAGAACTAGAGTTGTGACGTTGGGCACAGCAATGTCTTTATGTACGCAGGTCAAAGGTAACGATAGCCACTATCGCATTATTGCAAGCTTCCAATGTGGCTATGCATTGCATACTATAGGCAGGGTTGGATGGGAGCAATTATTGGCTTGTTTACGTTTCTGTAATGTTGTTTCTTACGTAATATATGTTTTTTCGTCCTAACAAAACACGGAACAGAGATATCTAGGTAACATATTAAACAAAACAAAGGCGAGGGTGTGGGGGTGGAGGTGAAAGGAAGTAAAATGGTACGGGATACTAAAGAACCTAAATACACATTCCCCTACTATCTTCAATAAAAAATTCTGATACAGCACAGTTTTTCTCTTTTTAATGTATCAAAGTCAGCGTCATCGGAACAGCAGGATATGAAAATAGGTAGATACGTGTGTTGTTATAATATTGCTAAGTAAATGGCACCAAAATGCCACTAGTAAACGATTATGAACGTTTTTCATATTGGCAAGAATTATCTGAGTCAGGATTTGGGGGATGGTACTGTTTTTCTGGTGTACATATATGTACGGTTTGCGGTATTAAACTTCATCCTAATATTCTAATAACAACCACATGAATGTTTCCCTCGTGAAGATACCAGTAAGATAACTGTAGGAGCTGTAACAGCTAGAAAACTCCTTACCGCACAGACAGCTAGCTGTGCACCGCACCCAGGATTAGTATCTTGTTAGATGGGGNCAGAATACAGTCTACTTTTACAACTGTTTTTGTGTTTTCCTGTCTGTTTACTGCGATACTGTCTGCCACTGTTACTACTGTTACCAGCATGGTTATCATTGAGATGTAATGCCCTGTCTCTACACACACTGAAAACGCGTACAGACACACTAGGTTTTCCTCCAGACAGAATCATTGCTATGTATTGAGTGCCAGAACTGCTGGCATGATGGAAATTAAGAACTGTTCACATAGATTTACACCTTCATGATACCCCTGTTATCAATGGTTGTGTAGTGGGACTTTTGTTTCAAGTCACGGAGAGGTGATACAAGAGAAATACAATAGTCACAAGTTAAATGTTAAGTAAACTTTCTTAAATGCATGGCATATGACCCTTTACAATATGCCTGTCTACTTAACGATATGTATATATATATATATAGAATAAAAATACATAAATATTAAAATTTATATTTTATAAAATAATGAACTTTTGAAAACCCTTAGAATCCGCGGTTGGAAAAATCAAACAGCAATGTTTCTGTCTATTGAGCATTATGTCTAAGTTAAGTTCACAAACAAAAGATACATTTTCCTTCTTAAAACTAAAACATCATCTTTGTGATAAAAATGGTAATGATCGCGTAAGCTTTAAGAATGAATACAATCATACTCATATATTGGGATATGCTGAACAACCGCTTTTTTATAATAAAACCTCATTTGATTGTTAATCTTTATTCATACATAAATACTAAATACTAAAAAAATACTAAAATAGGAATCATCAAAATAGAGAGAATATATATATAATATGAAGCCCGCAAAATGTAATTGATTCACAGTACTTTGACTGTCACCACTATTTTACCAATCTTCAATAGTTAAGTTCCCAACCATTTAGTTTAATGATAAGTCGGATTTTCCTCTATGCTTGCTTGTCCGTCGGACAGCCGTGGCTTCCACATGGCAAACTCATTACGCAAAGTTGCTATGGTGTTACCACAAATACACAGTGAGCCGAAGGCTGCCAAAATGTTATCATCGGAGTGAAAACTGCGAACTCAGTTCCAACTCTGACGGTTACATATATAGATATAGTTGAACATTTCCGGGGGCTTTTTCTACAAAGAATTGCCAAACTGTAACAAAGCGTATTTCATGTGAATGTTATAATGGTTATATGATTTGTGTTCTGAAACATATATAGTGTTCTGTCGTAGTACACCGCTGATGTCGACAGCCATCCTTCCGTAGCCACCGGTAGATCAGAAAGAATATAGTAATGACGTAGAAATGTGAACATAGACAACGCCCAGTGACGTTTTTACATTTGGTATCCATGTTCAATCGTTGCATTTTTCGAAAGCATACATTAATTAATGAAAACATTTGTGAATATTGTCACTGATTAATGAGTATTTACACAAAATATAAGACAGGTGCTTATCAATCTATCGACTTGCGGTTATGTACCGTATTTTTTATATATGTTGTCGAGGGCTTATATCTCTCCTGCTTAGTAAGAATATAGACGAGGAATTCTTGGCAATGTTTTCGTGTGCGGTATGCGTGGTGTCAGAACATCAATGGTAGACTAGAGCGCTGGGTCATGCACGTGTACATGTTTTGTGTTAACACAGTGCAAAGATGCATCGACTAAGTATTCGGATATGCACGTTTAGATAGCAACGGTGCATGTAATGCCCTTGTAGTGATCGCAGATAACGTAGTGATATTAAAGTGAGGCTCCAGAGCAAGGATCTACTTCGTCAACTGATCATCTCAACATTGGTATGGATTGTTTCACCCAACATTTTCGTTATAACTATTTCTCGGAAAACACTGTCAAGATATTTATCATTTTTTTTCACAGGATAGTCATGGGTCACAAAACACTTAATTTGCTCCTTGGTGTAAGGTCAAGGTCAAACGAAGAAATTATATGTTGTTTTTTTTATTTATGTAAAACATTGTGTCATAAAATTTTGAAGTAATATTGTTGGAATTTATACTAGACGTCGCTTGATTAAATCTCAAGGTCAACAGTGAAGGTCATTCCAGCCAAATATTATGTATTTTTTCTTAATAGTAAACGGTGTATAATATCAGGAAGACAAATTGTTGAGATTGATGCCAAGTGACACGTTCGTGCAAACGCATACATGTCAAATTTTATATCGTCGTAGCTAACGTTACATTATAACTTAATGAAGTGTAATATTGTAGGTAATGACCCTGAGTGTCCATTGATGAAGGTTAAAGATAAAAGAAATAGCTGTCAAATTCTACATTGCTTTCATATACAAATATTTGATTATAGCAGAATTGGCATCATCAGTCTGAAAAACATAGGCAAGTGATCCTTTTTCTGTTGTTTACACGCGCTCCTTTGAGTGGACTACGACCCCTTCCCTGGTATATGTTGCTTATTCCGTTAAATGCATAAGTAAAACTGTTTGAAGACGGATGAAAGGGATATTAAACATGAAGTTCTAAATATTTCATGAAACACTGTTCCTTTTATTGAAACGCTGATTATATGACCACTGTTTCCATTTAACTCGACGTGGAAGCGAAGTTGCCAGCCATTGTTGTAAGATAAACGATTTGTGTTGTTTTTGCTATAGAGTTTCAAAGTAGAAGTTATGAAGATGCTGAATGAGAGTTCAATAGCATTGGCTGTATAACACTCTCTGTTCATTTTGAGTAGTGTGTTACTATTGTGCACTGAGTTCTCTTCTGTGGGGTTCTCACCGTGTGTTTTGTGTTGTCGTCCGTATTATATTGTCTTCCTATTCACTGTGTCCTCTGTTTTATAGTGCTGTCGTCATTTTCATAGAGTTATTAGCCTACAAGATTTGATTTGTTTGTGATACATGTAACCAGTTATACCAATAAGTTTGCCTCAACAAGGCACCAACGTACTGATCTTTTCGCCATGTGCCTTATTATTGGGGGATTTTTCTTTCTTTAATTCATACTGCCAGCCATATTGTTACTGTCTCGTATGCAGAGCAGCGGACATCGCGCTTAGTCGACTACAAGTACTTAAAAACAGTGATGAGCGTTATCAAATTGATTCAGTTGTTTGTTTAAACATGCACAATTTATGATTAGTAACAATTAAATTGTCACGGAAGTTCTTTAGAGACTTTTGTACTGCGTCTGACACAAAAAGCGTACATAGCTGGTTTATGGCCTGTAAGACATTTATATTCATAAAACCAGCAAAGGATAACTTTAGTAGCATATTTACGATGCTGTTGTTCTTTGAAGAACAGTAATAAACCAAATATAGATCCGTTATAGTTAATTGTTGCCATTTGTTGTTACAGGGTGGTGGTGGCGAGAAGTGTGTTATCTGCGAGAAGTCGGTGTACGCTAACGAGAGGATTGAAGCCGGCGGCGTCGCATTCCACAAGTTCTGCTTTAAATGCAGTGAATGCAAAATGCAGTTGAAGTAAGTAAATGAAACAATGTAAGCTTTGCATTAGATTCATCTTTTGGATTTTACTCCAAACTGTTTTCAACGATATTGGTCCATTAATAATTTGGCCAAATTATGTCATTTATAAAAACGCTCTTTTATTTCGTTTATATACAGGTTATTAAAAAGAACAATTCCCTTTCGCATCACAATAAAATCTATTTCTTTTCAGTTTGAACAACTATGCACAGGACGCTAAGACGTTGTACTGTAAGAACCACTTCGCCTCCTGTGTGACGGCAAAGAACACGCAGGCGCCGGTGTTTTAGTGGTCCAACAGGCGAACACAAGAAGCAGGAAGAAATCACTTTCAACTATACATACCGTCCATATTTTCTTTCCTGTCAACCTTTGCTAGAGACGCTTTACATACTTTTTCTCTGATTAATGTGTGAGGTATTTAGTTAGTAATTTCGGGAAACAGTTTTGAATGTATATGACAGTGCAGTGAATGTATTAGGAAGATGGAGACGTAGTTTTGTAGCCGTTTATTTTGCTTTGTAAATATCATTGTTCCTTTCCAAATGTATTATTTCACTTGTTATTTCTACCAGCCCATGCAAGATTTAAAGAGTTAATGCAATGTTCATTTGAATTGTCATCGTAAGCTAACTTTTATTACGATGTCAAGTGATTACAAATCTTCTGATGTCCTGATTGAAGTTTTTCGATACTTAAATTGTCTAACTTCAGTATCGTTGTTATGAACAAACCTACCACCAATGTACATGAAAATCTGTCTAACATTCAAACCCCCGCTGAGGTTATATGAGACACTGATCAAAGTGTTGAATAATCTACCCGTTCTCACCGAAAATATATTCAAACCTTTACCTTTGACATTTCGCGACTTGTATTAATCTGAAATAATCCAAATGTGTTCATCACGAGATATCGTGATCCAGTGGTATATCGAGGGAGATGACTCTAATAATAACGACTGGAAAGATAATTATGTAGTGAACTGTATTTTATTTTGTTTAAAGTGTATCAATTCTTATTTATATCAAGTTATGTTTAAATAAACAGTTTCATAAATATTTTGTTGTTGTTTAATTTCCTTTTGCATTTTATATAAACGTCATTTGACAGCGTTATGGGAAGGCCAAACTAAACTTTTCTTTATTCCTTCTTTGATTCTTCGAGTTTTTACTCGAGAGGTTATCTTTGTCTGTAAAATTGATATATCAATTAGCATAGGTGCAATTGAACGCTAGCAAAATGCTTTCATATAACGACTGATGAACAAGTGACCTATAGCTGATGCTCCTTAGTAGGAAATATGTTTGTGTTGGGTAATCGAAAATTAAAGGATATTTTTAATTTAATGATGAATCAGTGCTAAATAAACTAAACCTCGTGCGTAATATGTATTACATAGTGCTACCTTAATAACACAATTTTCAATGCGAAACACATAATTTAAACTGTTTAGTTTTTGTGTGTTAAAAGGGGTCGACGAAATAATATATTTAAAAGTTATCAAATAAAACAACAACCATATCTCAAACTCTATACGAACAAAACATAAATAGAGAAAAAAACAGAAATGAAGAAGGATCGTGAAAAGTCACCTAAACAAAAAGCAGAACCAGTATGAAATTATACAAGAAGCTAGCAAGAGCTACAACGCAGATCAAGCAATGACTGGTTAAAACAAGCTATCCGAGCAACAAAAGATAAAATTATGGTCAGTAAGTACAGGTTATGATAGCAACTATACAGATAAAACCCTGATAATCTAAATCAAGGTTGATATCAGCAACTCTGCTATTTATTTAATACAAAGAACGAGAGCGACATGCCAGTTTGAGAGAGAACCTACAAGTATGACACAGAACACGATCCCCTACTGGACGTGAACAGGCATGGAGTAACCTACTCGACCCCGTTTTCTTCGGGTACTCCAGTTTCCCCCCTCACCGGGACAACGAGAGTGATTAAAATAAGCTGATAAACCTTGTTTCACTTTTGTTGTGAACTAAAATAATTCAACAAAACACTTTTCAGAACATATTCTCTGCTCTCAACCTAGAGAACATTTTCTTGTAACAACAAAGATCAGCTGTAGACAGTTCCGATAATTTCCTTTACCTATGTTAAACTTAACACAAATTGTATATTGTCATTCGAAACCTTATATATAGCTTTCCTTTTCCATAACAAGGTCAAAAGCAATTATTGCTACATGTTTTACTTTTAACTTAATGACACACAGTCAGTGTCAAACAAAGGGAACACTACAGGGGTATCATAGCAATAACTATTCACTACATTGTCTTTAATAATCGAGTAATGGAATAAAATATTTGAGTATGTATGCATATAAATGGATTGCAATGTTCACAATTTCCATTTGTGGGACCCAATTTCTTCAAATCACTGACGGCGGTTCCCTCTTTCTCCACTCTCCACTTTTAAATACTTGTTTTGAGAACTACGCACTGTCACCAACCTCAACCCATTTATAACCAGGATAGGATCCCAAATATTGCCCGACTCCCGTTAAGCGATAAACTATCAAAAAGCTCCAGACCTCAGTCATTAAAACTGCAATGTAAGCACCAAAATCTCAGTTCTACCGATCATAACCGACTTTTTAAAACTTTTGTTAGATCGTATACGTATTGGTAGGTGGTCATTATGCTAGATTTAAATCAGTGACTTTACTGCCTTATATAGTTAACTCATTCACCCCTGAATTTTCATAATAAATATTCCAATTTTTAAAATGGAAGAGTTCAAATGTGTCTTCAGGGTGAATAAGGTAACCGCATTAGAAATTAAAGCATTTTCTTTCCAGCTAAATGAAAACTAAAGACAGCTGCAGCCTTATCTACAATTCATTTTATATACGAGTTTTATTTTGATATCACAGAGAGATAATGGTGCTCTTAATGAAAATGATAGCTACCTACATCGAGTATATAATATAGCTTATGTTTTGCCCCGGATCAGACAAGTTTCCTCCGTCAAAGGGTTCTTTAGTTAACGAGATACGGTTTTACTGTAAATGGCCAAGTCAGCACATACAATTAACATTTTCAACGTTCCGAGACGTACATTATATGTTTAATACTAGAGCCCTACACATCACCCTTGCATTGTGTCTGCCATTCAGACAACAGGCACAGCGATAAATCACCAAAGGGTCACAGACGACAACTGATCGCGGCACACATAACATATGGCTACCAACACCTGGAATGATCCATTGGCTCTTTATTACATTAAAGCTTTTCATATGAATTTCGTCAATTTTTAGTTTTTCGACAATAATTATTCTCGATAATACTGTCCCTGTAGAATGATTCTGTCGGTAAATTCAATGCTTGTATGATATTCTCCTTTTCAGAATGCGAGTATCATCCATGATTTCACGACTCCAGTTTTGATGTTTCTTGGCCAATCCTAGAATCCTAGGTGTCATGTAACTAGGCATTTGGCGTACAAAGCATGTTTTTAACGGGAACAATATGAGTGAATTATTATCACCTATCTGAAGTAATCTTACAATGTTGGAACAGTCCATACAACAATGATAATCTTATGATGTCAGACCGATTACGGTTTTTGTGTAGTGTGACGATAAATCCTGTGGTACGGAATGATCTCGATGATTGAAAAACACGTTTCTAGATTTACTTCTGTCTTTAATGTGAAGCAATAATTAATTGATGCTTATTGTTTTAGTTTTATATATACTTCTGCTGCGTCATACAACCACCGTACATAAGGTACTTATGATGTGTTCCTGCTATTGTCTAGTGACACCAAACACACCCATGGAGCTTAACGTAAGGAAATATGTATTTGCGAGTCGTGTTCAAAAATATATTTGATATATTTCAAAAATGTTTCTTCAAAACTATGATATGTTCAAATTTTCAAAATTGGGAAGTCAAACATTTAAGCAACTATAAAAATGTCATTGATTGAATGCGCCTTTCAAGTATGTATGTGTCTCGAATTGTTCAGCTGTGAATTCCCCAAATTAGTCCATAACCGATTACAGCAGAATTATCGTTACATTTGTTAATATTTCAGTGCTTTGTTTGTTCATCTTTATTATTCTTTTTATCAAAATCACGCAAGATATGGTGTTGTTCTCTTCAAAAACGATGTAGCAAAAGATATAATCCTGCTGGAAAAAAACTGTTTCCAATGCGAAGTTACAATTTTTGGCCAGTGGTAAATACCTATGTCAAGAAAAAGTAAGAAAATAAAGGTTACATTAATATGGGATCCCAAAGCGTGAATAGAATAATGTGACTTTATCACATCATATTTAAAAAAACAGAGTGCATGCGAAACATTTCCGCGACTTTTATATATCAATCGGCTGTAGGTTCTCACACATGACACCGTCTGAACCACTCGACGACCTTTGCCTCGGGGATTTTGTGGTTGTACGTGACATGAAACAGAAGATGTCCAACGGACTAATTAAAGGTGAGCGACAGGTAAAGCATCTTGTAATTACCAATAATCACATTTGTGTGAGCCCGTTAGGACTGTCGACAGCGGTGTCTCGGAGAGATTACCAGTATGTGCAAACTTTCGCTGTCTTTACTGGTAAGTATATCAGTTTGTTAATTATATATCGACATTTTTCGTAATATTAATATAACGTGTATTATTGATTAGTTTAAATTAAATCATCAGTGTTTCAATTGGAAAATGTGTATCAGGATTACAACCGTCGACGGTGGTTCAAAAGTATTTAGGATCTATTAAGCCTGCAAAATATTGATTTCCAAATTGAAAAAAAAGGCTATCGGCGTTTTTTCGCTTAACTATATCTTCGTAAATATAAATATGTGACAAATAACATTAATTTCATTAAAAATGGAGCTTGTCAACAATGTACGGACATTGCACTAATCAAGTCACTTTAAATAAAAACAAAGATGAATTAAAATATTGTAATTATCTAGAATACATACATTTTAGAAATAATATTATACAACTGACATTTATCCATTTGTAAACATGCAAATTACAAAAAAACATTCTATTTCGTGGTATTTGTTTCGTCTGTTTTTATATAAATTGTGTACCCATTAGATTAAGTACAAGGGACAATACTCGCCGTATTTCAGTTTTCGTCGTTTTCAAATACATGATCGTATTGAGGGGAGATGCATCATGCAGGCAAACACTTAGTACAAGGTTATTGTGATATTCTTGTGATGAAGGGCAACATTACCGCCAGACTAATATGGACTTTTCAAGTTCAGGGTGAACACATCAAAGGACGAACATTTTTCAATATACATTTCATGTGTACTATTGAGTGTATATTATTGTTTTGTGTAGGTGCTTTCCCTCGTCGGATACGCCCATATGTTCCATACCCAGAACGACCCGTCCAGTATTGCCCGCGCGTGTACGGTAAGCTCAAAATAAAATTCAATACTTTGACAAGGCATTAAAATGATTTATGGGATTTCAGGACTGATTGTTAAAAATCTGACTAACAAATCGTTAATGCAAACTTTTATAATAATTTTTCAATTTTAATAGTTTTCTTTTTTTCAATGGTCTCTTTAAATCCTTGTGCATGCAACTATTGTATTGAATTTCACTCTGAACACATACTAGTTTTGATTTTGCTCTTAGCTGTTTTTAAGCTTATCAGACAGCCAATACCACACACATCCTAGTCAGACGTAACAGCTAAACACGTGTTTATTACGCAGGTGTACACACCACATTGTTCGCTATACACATTCGTACATGTATTCATGCGTGCAAATGTGAATGCTATCTGCAATATCACGTTAATAATATTTGTTTGACCATAACTGCGTATTGTGTAATGTAAACGGCATACGCCCATCCCTTCCTTGTTGGCTTTGTCAAATGTTGGAAAATACACTAATTACACTCCATAAGTTCTAACTCCTTTGCATGAGAACTGTCACCTTGAGTATTGTAGGTTTCCCAGTGTACATGTATACCCGGGTAATTAAAGTCGTCTATAACTCAAACGTGACCGTATCCTTATGCTTCTTCAACGAAATACTATAAGTTGTAA